AAACAGAACCAAAAGGTCCAGAAAGGGCAGAATCATGAGACTCTGAACCAAAAATGATCTCTATGTTTAGGTATGTTGCTACAGAGGAGCTTTGAATTTTGAGTTAGATGAAAAAATCAGCTTGATTTTCTTGGAATAATTCTAAAAAGTCTATTAATCTTATATTTATGGAGGCTTCGTGATTAAATAGCAGGGTATTTATTTCCTAAACCCTTAAATTTCCTGGACCCAAAATGATTTGAAGATAAATAATTTAGCTGCTTTTTGATGCAATACATTTTTTTCAGTTATTCAGTTATTTAGTTATAACTCTAACTCAGTTATGAAGACATAATGGTGCATTTTAAGCAAACACTGATCAAATTCATCCATTTAGCCTCTTTAATGGTAAATCCCACATGGATGAGCTTCAACTTGTCTACATACCAAAGTTGGCCTATTGAATGATTGAAACTGCAAAGCTCAATTAGTTAAACATTTTATTTACATGAATTCACAATTTTTGTTATTGTATCGTCTTATAGTATAATGTATTATTTTAAAATTTTTTAATATAGAAGGTATGTCAGTAAGTATGCAACAACGATAATTTGACCTCATCTTACAAATGTCTTGCTGACTGTGCATAAAGTGAAACATGAATCCATCACTTTAATTTATTATGAACCAATTACTGTGATATAAAATGAGATCATGTAATCTAAGATTAGTTTTTTCAGATTTGACTAGATAATGTGTTAAAAAATGACTTGGCTGGGAATTATTAAAACTAAGGGGCCTTTACACGGGCAAGCGGAGGGGCAGACTAGTGGGTGGGGCTCAGAACTTGGAATCCTGAGGTTCTGAGTTCGAGCCCCACTCCCACAGACTGCCACTCTGGGTCTCTGAACAAGACCCTTAACCCCACACCGCTCCCCAAGCTCCCCACAATGGCAGCCCACTAGGGATAGGTTAAATGAAAATACAAATTTTACCAATGTGAGATGAATAAAGTTCAAAAGTAAAGTACATTTACTTGATTATTGTACATACCGGTAAGTAATTTTTGACTATCTTTACTGTACTTGAGTCATTTTTGGGAGAGTACTTAAAAATTTCACTCCATTTTAAAAAGCTTAGATTTCTAATCAGTTGTTGCTGTTTTTCTTTCTTGAAATGCAATTTCATCATAGCAGATAGCAGCCTTTAAGGCTGAATTTGAACACCACCATCAAATAATTTCCAGAAAATTATTATTTTTTTAACTTAAGAACTTTCTGTCAAATTACATCATAACCAATTTGTTTAAGTTAAATTAGATCATTTATTTGCATCAAATTTGATACACTAGGCGTTTCTGTATAATCTTTTATACATTTTCTGTTCACTACGTGCGTTTTATTGTGTAAGTCAGGCTTTTCAAGAATAAAAATATCAAACTGAGGATGCAGTGGTCTGAAAAAGTCATGTATCAAATATGATCCAATTGGGTTTTTAAATTACTTTGAAAATTATACTGAAATTTAATGATATAAATGCATGCACTTTTGAATACTTAAGTATTTTCAAAAGTGAGAACTTCAATACTTTAACTTGAGTAGATGTTTGATCAAGTAACTTTTTATTGTAGTGACTAAGATTTGACTTTGAGTATCAATACTTTTACTCAAGTACTACTGTCACTCATTAAGTCATTCTTTGATTTTCAGATCACCTTAGAAAAATTATTGAAATTGAAAGGATTTAAGAAACTATGCAACCAAAACCATAACATTAAAAAACACTGAGCTAAACAAAAACCGGAACCAGCAGGAATCCAACAAAACCAGCATGCAAACACTTAAACCAGACATTGATGTTATGAAAATGTGTGTACAGTATATTTCTGCAAGCACTGGATGTCATGGTGGGTTTACAGGCTCCTAACCCAAGTGCAGAACACGCTCTGAGACAAGGAAAAATTCAACAGTTTATTGAACAGACACAATATTAAGTGTTCAGACCCAGGATTGGTCAGGACTGGATTTCTGATCAGAGACGTGGTTCTGGCAAGCAGCAGAGGAGGGGAACAGGGTTGGGTCCAGAGGCTTGAAGTTGGCAGAGGGCTAAGCAACGGCAGGGCTTGACTTCAGACTTGTTTGTGTTCAGACCTTGAGTTTCTCCAAGTTCTCTCCTTGAGAGCTGGCAGGCAGGTTCAGACAGTTTGATCTCCAGGTTTGATTCTGAGAGCAGGCAGGCAGGTTTCTGCTGAGAAGCTCTTCCAGAGCTCCAGGTTTCAGTCAGGGTTCTTCCTAGGAGGCAGAGAGGACAAAAACACTGATCAGATTCAAAGTCAGGTTTTCAGGGGAGTCAGAGAATCAGACAGGCTGGTTGGCTCAGGCTTCGCTAACCATAACTGGCTTAACACTCTGGCNACATTAAAAAACACTGAGCTAAACAAAAACCGGAACCAGCAGGAATCCAACAAAACCAGCATGCAAACACTTAAACCAGACATTGATGTTATGAACATGTGTGTACAGTATATTTCTGCAAGCACTAGATGAATATCATGTTAATTCAGGTTAACATGTTTTGTAGCAGTACGTCAAAATATTTTTCCCTTTTTAATAAAACTATAACTAATGCATAAAACCCTTCAGAATCGGGAGCTGTGTACGAAATCAAACTGGTGGCCTACAACGGAAACGGAGAGAGCGATGGCACCAAGAGGTTGGTGTCGCTGGCAGAGCAAGGCATAAGTGATCAGATCAGCGGTAAGTCTTCCATCAGAGGATGCAACAGCTTTTAACACTGTTTTACACACTATAAAATGTTTAATAAAATAAAAATGTTTAATACACATCTTCCTTTTTCTTGGCTTTGTGAAAGGAGGGAACAGTTTATGTCAGTGCAGGGATTCTGAAACCTCTTTGGGCAGCATCGTTATTGGCATCCATATTGGCACGGCCTGCATCATCTTCTGTGTCCTCTTCCTCATGTTTGGATACCGTCGCAGGTGAGCCCAAACACGCATTTTATTCCTTTCATCTGTTCTATAACGTTTATTACTTCATCTGTTCTATAACATTTATTACTTCCGCTTGTTGTAAAAAACTTGTATAAAAAGAATCATCTTTAAAAGGCAAGCTGTGTTTTGATTAAAGTGAATTAAAATGTTACTTGTGTTGAGAAGCAGGCATAGGTCCTCCAAGTTTAAAAAAGCACGCTTGCCTGTCTACTTAGTCTGCATCTCTGGTAAATCCTACAGAGATCATCTGACCAAGATCTCAGAAATACTGATTGGATTGATGAAAAACTGAGCATAGGAGGGCATAGAGATGAACTGCGTGTTGTTTAGCAAATCTTCTGTTGGAAAAGAATTATTGCAAAGAGCAAAACAACAGACAGTCATAGAGAGAAGCATTACGACTGCCATCTGTTAGTCAGGAAAAGGATAAAACAATTTTATTATGACCATTGTTTACTGTTACTGTTGTAGTCGTTCATATTTTACATTATATTCAGTTTATTTATCTAAGGCCCACATCAGACAGTATTGGCAGCTGTAGCCCTCTTAACTGAATTAAAATGATACTGAGCTGGACTAGAAAACACTAGGAAAAATCTCCCTTTTTAGTTTCTCATTTGTGGTTATTTGTCTATAATTCTTTCTTTTTGATTTGCAGTTTTTTTTGCAGTAAAGGGACTCAGAACAACTGGCCAGTACCAAGAATCCATGCAGGACAAAACAACAGCCCTAAAGAAGGAGCGAACTACCCCCAGGTGGAGTCTGAAGCACAGGTGCTTTTTTTAAACATTTCTCTATACATTTATACATGAGAAGAACCAACCACATTCAACTTCTTGGAGTTTTGAACAGTATCACCTATAAACCACCTCCTAGAGTGTGACTTAACCAGTGTCCTGTCAGATGAGCATACCCGGTCAAACCAGCATACCCATAGTCAATACCCGTTTATCCCTTTAGTTTATATATTTATTTTAACTTTAAACTACCTTAATGAATGTGTATCCCTTTAGTCATGTACAAAAAAACGATTTAATTACTTGTTTTTTTAAGCGTATGGCAAACAGCCACATTTTCCCTGCTAAAAAAATATGAACTATTTGTCCATCTCGCTTCATTACTATTGAAAAGTCATTTATAAAAATCACAGCTAATATTCCAGAGGCTCTCTAAGCCCCTTGCATTTCTTATAATTTATGTTTATAAGTTATAGGATGTTTTTGGTTGTGTGGAGAAGAGGCAAACCACAGTCAGTAGATGTTCAGGCTCCAACTTTAACGGAGTTCTGAAACTCCAGCCCAAATTTCTCTTTGCAGGAAGACCTGACTGTTGTCCTGCATAACTCTATTGGGGCTCAGCTTTGTGAAGGCATCTGCAACCATGCACTGATAATTACAGTATAAGGAGCAGGTGGAGTCTAAAGTGGGACTTTACCTGTCATAGAGAAATTTAATCAAAATGAATTTCCAGTGAAACCAAAGGAAGGGTAATGGTTAGTAGGATTAAAGCCCCTGATCTGTCAGAACTGAGCTTTTTAAAAAGAAAAATGAATTTGTTCACTGTTTTTCTAAAGTGGTCAACATCCAAGGGATGACTGGAAGTTGTGTCTAATGAGATGGCAGGTTTTATCTCTCAAAAACAAAACAAACAAAAAACCCCACAAAAATGTAGAAGCAGTTAAAATGATTGTTTGATAACATAAAATATAAGTTTGATTTTAATGGGGAGATCTGAGGATACCTGTATGAACCAGAATATACCACTAAGGAACGGATAACGAACTGCGAGTGAGCAAAAATTAGTAAATAAACTCAACTTTACTCAAATGGCAAAATGACTTATTTTCTATATCACTATTCTGTTCCTACTGTCCTACTCAGTCACATTCAAACACTGAAATGTGAAGATCAGGAAGAATCTTGAAGCTTAAGGCAGGTTTATATCACAAGATTATTGTGCAGGTCCCACTCTAATCTATTTCCTATTGGATCTGCTCCGAATAATGTCGACACCCCTCCCATCGCAAATAAGGCAAATCCAACACGTTGGATTGTCTTGGCACAATATACTACACTGCAAAAATGTTCTGAAACTCAGTAAAAATGTCTTAAAATAAGTGTATTTAACCTTAATTTGAGTAAGAAAATAAGATGATCTGGCAATGAATGAGTATTTTTAACCTTTAAATAATGTGCAGACCATGGTCACTGCCTGCGTTAAGTTTTTCTCACTAGCTGCACCTGATGCCGCTGTAACAAGCACATCACTCACTATCAGTGTGAGATTCAGGATCATTTTTCTTTCCTCCATGGCAAAACCTCCGAAGCAACCTCCGTTGGTGTCTAGTTCATTTTAGGATGCCTCGGTCCACACTAAACAAAAGCTATTATCCCGTCATACTTGGACGAATTCACTCATTAAGAGTTACTAAATTATAAAATATCAATAATAACTTTAATTCATGTCACAGCTCTTTTAATGATGCCTGCTTTGTGTTTATTCATACCCTGTGAATATTGCTAGCAGAAGCAGTAGAACATGTAGAGACACATACATGAATGTATGATGAGATTTCCTGTCTGACAGCTAAATGTTCTGGTTTAATTTGTTTAAAATTTCAAAATGTGAACCAGCCTTTAGTGTCTTTCTCAGAGGTGCACAAAAAAGGAAAACCACTTAAATACGATAAAATCCTTTTCTAGCTGCTTTTGTTTTTCCCGATCTGAATGATCGATTGTGTGAAATGATTTTATGAGTATTTTATGACTGACTGAAATGACTGTAAGATTCATATAATTCCTGTTAAGCGATTGTGTTTTCTTGACTTTTGCGATCTGTGACTCTCCCTCTCAACAGATGGTGTGTCCTGCACGTTGCCAAGTCATCATTGAGCAGCATCCATCTGGCGTGTCTGGCATGGGAACTGGCTGACATTGGTCAATATTATCACTTAACCTTAATTCCAACTTTTCCCTCCACTCCCGTTTTTAAGCTGGTATATATTCACTAAAACCCACTGCTAGTGCTAGAGTGTTGGCTTGTGGAATAAGATCGATCCCGGTGAGTTACTACCCTGAGACCAACCTCCACCCCTACCTCAAACCAAAGCGTATCGCCTTCATGGCCTTTATTGCACATGTGTTTCTATATCCTACTGCTTGCATGTGTGCTGAGAAAAATTCTCCTGATCAGGACAGCATTAGTTTTGTATTCACACCAAAGACATGTCAATTTTTCACTAAGAGTTTGTTCCATAACCAAAATATTTTATCCTCCAAATTTTTGGTGGGAAATTAGACATGTCAGATGTGCACTACGGATTGAAGCCTAAACCTTATTTTGTTATATGACTGAGAACATATTTTGTGTTTGTTGCAACAGTTTGTCCTTTCAACTAAAAAAGATGTCAGCCTCTGCAAACATCTTAAAGGGAGGTTCGACTGATAAAAGCTTTTTTTTTAAATAAGAAAAGTATCCAAACTAGAAAATGTTGACCAATTCGTTTAACCCAAAAGTCAGGTAAGAAGGATTGGAAGATTTTCTCCAAAGATAGCTACCTCAGTCTGATACAGTGCTTTATGGTAATCCTAATAATGCTGCTTCTGTTAGCTAACCTACCAAGTGAATCTATATTTTTAAAAGTTCATTTTGACAAGTGCCAGTCACTGTACCATGCCAGTCACTGACCAATCCTGCCCAGGGTGAATGATTGCCATGGAGACCAAACATTGTTGGAGTGTTTCCTGAAAAAGCCCAAAGCCTTATTGCACCAGAAGATACAACCTGATGTTTCATTCCCCTCCCTACTGTGAAGTAAAGATGTCTGTCTTTTTAAACCTCTTGATTTAAAGGCATCATCAGCTGTCTCATTTCATGGGAAATATGGATTGCCAGTAGTGCTCTGTCAAACGTTTAAAAATCACTTCATTGTTCCACCAATATGCTTTACTGATACCAAGAGGCCTACCATGAACTTCAGTGACTAAGTGAAGTTTCACGGTGAAATGGACCTAAATGCATTAAACACCAGGAAAGCCTTTCCAAAAAAGATCTATGAAAACCCAGCTGAAAGATATCCAAAGATGTAAACTATTGGTTGGTTTTCTTTACGTTACGTTCATTCTGCATCACATGTATTAATTTCCTTTCAGTTACAGGTTCTTGTAGAACCTAAAACAAGTGAACCCTGCTTTTGATTTCTTCTGGAATAATTTAAAAACTTTTTGATGTTTTTTTTTTTTTTTTTGGCTTAACCCAGAAATGTGGAAAATGTATTTTTGTGATTTAATTTTCTTTCTTAAGAATGACCAAATGCTTATTGTATAGTTTTAAAAACCCTTTCAACGCAGAAGGAAGGTTTGTGTTGGAAAGTAGTTGAATTTTTGCCAAATAATTGTTTATCCTTAAAAACATGCAACCAAAAAACAGTTTTGCCATTCCAAATTCTTTCCTTTAATACGTTTTGCTGGCCAAAGCACAAGTTGTTGCATACGAGAACAAAAGTATGCATAGATGGTTCACACAGATAAACCCTGAGGGCAACATAACTGCAGAATGGGCTGTTTCTAAAAACAGGTTTTGGTAGTTTACCAAAGAAAGCTAAACCAAATAAATTCTTTCTACGCTCATACATACAGTATCAATGTCCTTTGCTTGGCATTTGTAATATCATATGAAGTCAAGTATTGCTTTAAAAACCTAATATTCTTTTAAATGGACTGCATGCTTGATAAGAAGCTTTTAAAAGCTTTAGGGTTTAATCTTGCCATTTGTGTGTCTGAGGCTCAGCAGAACGTTGGAAATTAGGCCTGTTTTCATTATTTCATTTGTTAACTAAAGAAGCTGATATACCAATGTGAAACCAAAAAGTGAATTTATGGTATATAACCCAAAAACTCCATGTGTGTTTGTAGTTCAAAGAGTCGTAGACGTTCAACTAGTTGTTTAAATGAGAAACATGTCTCTTGTTTTTGAAATGGTTCTTTTCTGTGTACACTTCAATTTTTTTTTTGTTTTTTTATGAAAGAAATGTATGTTTTCTTTTAAAGATTTGTGATTCTTCATTTTATTTTTGTAATATTTAATGTTTTGTTGTAACCCAGCTTTAACCTTGTAGAGTTACTTTGTAAGTTTTCCAGAATTGGAGATAATTTAAGATTTTTTTTTTCAGATTTAACTCACATTTTTACATAAAGAACCAGATAGTGAAAGAAAATGAGTAAAATATCTATAAAAAGTTAGAAGATTTTAGAGAAGTAGAAATTGACCACTGTTGAAAAAGCTTTAATTCTCCTGCTGTATGTTTTTTAAAACTTGCTGATGTAACTACTTGCTCGCTAAAGCTTTACATTGTGCCATTTTGGCCCAGTTTTGGCCTTTGGCCTAAAACAAAAATGGATTTAGAAAAAGACAAAAATGCAGCTTTAACTAAAAGCCAATGGATTTCCCAGTTATGTTTTACAGTTCACATTTTTGACTTTTAGAAAACCCTTTTTATACAAAGCACACAACCTGATCTTCAGATTTCTATTCTATTCCTAGAATAAACCTGCAGTAGCATACCAAAAATAGTTAAAGAACAATCCACTGGACTTTGTTTCCAAGCTTGAAGACGTTTCGCTTTCCATCCAGGAAGGTTTTTCAATTCTAGATGTCAGCAATAGCGTTGAGTTTAAAGGCTTCATACGGTAGTCCAACAAGGCCTGGTTTTTGTTTAGAAAACATCCAAATTGCAACGGATGAACGGGTCCATCCCTTTGAGATGGGGCTTATTTTGTTAGCGTGCAATGCCCCGTACCTGTCTATGTCTCTGAAAAGGGGTCGTTAAAGGGAATTGCTGTCTTGGCTAAATAGGCGAGGGGGTTTTCAATTTGCATGTTTCTAAACAAAAACAAGGCTTTGTTGGGCTGCCATATAAAGCCTCCAACTCAACGCTATTTCTGACATTTTGAATTGAAAAAGCTTCCTGGATGGAAGAGAAACTTCTTCAAACTTGGAAACAAAGTCCAGTGGATTATATTTTTTATTTTTTTGGGAATGACTATGACCTGAATGACTGGGAATCTCACCAGCATACTGCAGTAGCATAATTTATCCTCCTCGAATATTAGTGGCCTTATAAACAACTTTCAATTTACAGCAAGAACAAGTGCTGTACTTCACTCAATTGTTCATTGAACTCACAGAGAATCTGAGAGGCTTCTTTTATAGATTTGGACATTTATGTTGAAGCAATGTATGTAGTCACTCTATTCAATTGTAGAAACTTTATTAATATAAGAAAATCCCAATGATTTTCATTTGTCACACATTTTATCTGCTTATTAAACATCACAGACTCCGAGAGAATTTGTTGTCATTTTACATTCTCAGAACCCATATTTATATATACAGTATGTGCAAAGCTCATTTAACGAAGGCTAACATATTGTGTATGCCAGTAGGTTCATAAACAGATTTTTGTCTTGCATCACTCAAGTACTGAGTTCCCCAAAATAGGCTTGGATAGTTTATTATAAAGTTATATTTAAGTTGAATATATATATTTGTACAGCAGTACAGTGAGGTTTTTTTTTTTATATCAAACTAAGATGTTTTAATCTCTATATAATTTCTTTTCATTTTTTCAAATAACCCTGAAATTCGATCCAAAAGTATTCATGCGGTAAGTTTTGCCTGGTTGGTTGACTAAAATGTAAGATGACAACAATTTCTTCAGTGGGTGTGTCAGTTTCTGTTGGGTTTAAGTTTAAGATCTTATTTGTAATTTTTATTCTAGATTTTGAAAGAAATAGACCTGTTTGTTTAGAGCCTCAAACATTTTATTCCATCTACACTCATATGAAAAAACAGTTGTACTTGAATGTCTAACAGCTGTTGACTTTTTAAAGTTTTATTTTGACATGCCAAAACCAAATAAAGAAATCTAGCTAAAGTTCTTTGTGTTTTGTCGTTTTTTAACAAGACTAACAGGATTATCTCAAGGAGATGAACAAGATGAAAGTATCTTGTTGGTTATATGGTTTGACCCTTGAAATGAATACTGAATACTGCATGGCAGCTGGATGTTGTAATAAATTGGATAAAAATGAAAAG